ACAGTAGCCCTCTCCACTGACTGTAAATGTGTAAATACACATAAAGGTAGTATAAGCTGCCTGTTCGAAATGTTCAGCAAAAAGTAAAACTTTACTTTGTTTCAATGAGATGTTTTCATTGGGTTAGCCATTTAGTTCAAGTTAGGTACAAATTAAATAAAAAATGGCCTAGAACAGTTTCAAAAAAGTGCGAAACTGGCACAGCAAGTATTTATAGGCCTTTAAATGAATAAAGGGTAGCATGTAAAGGGAAAAATTTTATTCCATTTCATTCTCATCGACCAGTTAAATGTATTTAATTTATTCAGCAAGAATTCAGGAAGCAGCATTACATCTAAACTAAATGCATTGATTGGTAGCGTGATACTATTTTTTCCTTGATCCTGATATCACAGGAGCTATTCATTTCATATACCAAAGAAGTACCTCTGGAATCTTATATGGAAGGGTGTATCATTCACAGTCAGATTGAGAATCATGCCATTTCGGGTCTCCCTGAGATGAGCACTTGTGACCAAGAGAAGCACTTATCAAGCACACAGATTTCCTCGGTGCAACAGGGCGCCTACTTCTGTTTTCTCAATGAGGGGTCCATTTGTAACGGAGAGCAGATATTCCTCTCTTCTCTCTGGTATACTTTACAAGGTTACTCCATACAGCGGCCTGCATTTTCTGCCCATTCGTGATATGCAGGCTACAGTGTGATGCCTACGTGGCCTACGGAATTCTCTCTATAAACGCAGCAAAAAACTCTATTGTCAGAAGGGCTGGTCACATGACTTTGACAGGACTGGGCTCTCCTCCATTCTGTTTGTGTTATTGTTTTACTCATTCATTTTAATAGCATTGAGCATATTTGTAAATATATTTTGCCGTACTGCTGTTTTTAAATAAACCCCTCAGTGCATGCACTAAAAGGATGAGGAAGGAGATAATTCAGTAACATCTCTTGATTTATGCACCATTGATTAGTGATCATAACATTGCCAATTATCTCTGTCTGGTATAAACAATATTTGAGGTCCCATTATATTATGCCATGGCTTCCATATTTCATCTGGAGTCTGCATCACATAATGCAAAGACCACTTGTAGGTGCTGATTGTTTATTTTAATTTGAGATTTTAAAGGTGATACATAAAGCGGTTTAATATTTCCTTAAAGTATGTTAAACATTCATTTTGTGAAAAGAATAGTGCAGAGCTCTACTGTTCTTATTTTTAGACTACCAAAGAATCTTTGGGTAGCCTTGCCGGTGTTCTAACAGATTGCTGGACTGTGTTGGAAATTTGAACCACGTCACTTCCGGTGATGCGAGGATTTGGCTGAGCACACAAGTGCAGAGGCAAAATAAACATTACAACAGCTGCCTCAAACAGCTGATTGGGTCCAGAATTTTGGCTGGCTATTTGCCTGTATTGCCTGTGTGCAGGGAAGGCAGCGGGTCCAGAACTTAACATAAAATTATTTATAGCCTGTGAAAATTCTGGACCCGATCAGCTGTTTGAGCTTGCACGTTCAGCCGAGGCCCCCCGATGTGACATGCGGGTCCAGATTTGTCACAGGTCCAAGATTTTAACAGAACACCAATTCAATATTCGAAATGGGAAACATTTTGTAGGTTGCTAAAATAACTATGGCTATCATACCTAAAAGTGTTTAGAAGGGACTAAGCTGTATACTACTGGAAAAGGGAGCAGTATGTTTATAATTCCACTACAACTCCACTTGAACTCCATTGAACTGGTCCACTTTTTTAATGTGGACCAGTTCAATGAAGGCAGCTGAAATAGTTTTAGAAGCCTCCAAAACTGATGTAATTTTTTTTTTTCCTTCTAACCTATACCTTCACAAGGGTGTCATGAGGGCAAAGTTAGAGGTAATTTACCCTACAGGTGCTATTCTGTGCTTGGCAGTATCTCATTTTTACAGAATTAGGCATTCTCGTGCTTGTGCAATAGAACATGTAAATATCAGTGCTAGGCAGGAATCTCCTTTTCACTTTTACAACTTATACTATTTGTATTACACTCCAAATGCTGCCCACCCTGTAATATATAGGGTATTGGTTAAGGGTTGCCCTTACATTTTGACAACCATGAGGGTCTTCTCATGCTTGTGATAAGCCTTATTGCTTAACTTGGTGACAAAATGTGTTGGACTGCAATGTTATTGGCACAAGCACTATGGTAGCAAAGTGTTTATAGCTATGTTGTAAATGTTTCAGATCTGTTTTGGAGCATATTCAGCATTATTCTTCTTTCTAGTGTAGCCAATAGCACCTTAAGTGGGGTGGCTACTAAAATTTACAGGGCTATTCACTAAAGGATGAAGAGTTATGAGAATGCAGGAGAAGTGCTAGGCAAAAGTAGCTGATTTGGAAAAATTATCCAATTCAGCTCACTTTCCAGTTCAGCTATGTTGTCCTAGATTGCTCACCTCTCCTGCCTTCTCCAAACTCTTTACCCTTTAGTGAATAATCCTGTTAGTGTTGCTAGCACTGTAATTAGTCTGGCTGATTTGTTGTCTGACATTATCTGGTTAAATCTAGGTGCTCTGCTATGATTTGCAGCTACCTGAGTGGAGTGTGACCCTGCTACAAGGTGGAGCAGCCAATAACGCAACATCAGGAGTGTCTATGCCTCACCAGCCAATCACTAGGAGTTTCATGGTCAGTGGTGCATGCTGGGGGAGTGCATATATCAGTGACATGTGGTACCTTTGGATTTGGGTGAGACATTCCCCAGTCCCGCCCCCAGCCCGCCAAAGCCCCCCAACCCAATCACCAAGCTAGTTTGAGGGAGGGAGGAGGAAGGGAGAAGACAGGGAGGGGCCTCCCTGTCCCTCCCTTGCTCCTCAATGCTGAGGCATCGAGATCGATGGCCTCAGTGGGTTTTTTTTCTTTTTTGATTGGACAGCGTGGACCAATGGCGCTTTGCCATTTGAACCAATGATCTATAAAGTGGCAAAATTATCGCTTTGTATCTACATAACATTCACTTTTTAATGCAAGACAGTACTCTGCTCGCTTTGTTTGCCACAGCCTGGCATTGCAAGCTATTATTCAATCTACGGTCAATTTTGACCCCCAGATATTTTTCCATTTCTGACTTCCCTAGTGGAGAACCCAATAATGTATATTCCGCTTGCCTGCTTTTAACCCCAAAATGCATTACTTTACCTTTTTCAACATTAAACCTCATCTGCCATGTAGTTGCTCACTCCCCTATTTTATTCAGGTCCTCCTGCAATGCTATATTGTCTAAGTCCGTGTCTATTACCCTCCCAATGTTAGTGTCATCTGCAAACACAGAAACATGGCTATTAACACCTTCCCTGATATCATTAATAAACAGATTAAACAGTATTGTGCCTAGCAATCGGAAAAAAAAAATGCAGAAAAAAAAGGTTGCTACTGTACAGTTCAGAGCAGTGAATATATTAGTATTTTACTGCAGACTCCAGACTCTATCCTTTAATCTCTTCCCACTTTTGGCACAAATTGTCCACACCTAAAACTCAGTGTGGCACACTCCATCCACTGCTCCACCCCCAGTCTCAGGAATTACAATTTTCAAATGTTCTCTGGTATTGCTATCACCAGTGGCGTAACAACCGGGGGGACAGGGGGGGGGCGCTAGCCCCGGGCGCAGGACTGAGGGGGGGCGCCATCACCGACCCCCCCTAAACAAAGCTCCTTGCCGCAGATGCAGTGGCTCCCTCTCTCTGCCACATGCACCCGGCTCTGTCATTTGAAAAAAAGAATTCTGCCCCGGGCGCCCATAACTCTGGTTACACCACTGGCTATCACCCTATGTTCATCAGGAGGCACTGATTGTTTCACACAAGTTAGTAGATGCGGAGTACAACTGTGTCTGCCTTGCAGAACCTGACATAACATACATAATACATTTGGAGAAGTAGGGCATGGAGATGCATTGGCAGAGCCACATGAAAAAGATTAGCTATGCCACTTAATAGGTGAAGCTTGAGATAGCTTGGTGCAGCTACAGGAAATACACTTTTGACCAACAAAATGCAAACGTTATACAGCAGCTTGGCCTAGAGTTAAAAAGAAGTAAAGAAGTGTTCTAGATTTTAAAGAACATTCTAATGTAAATCTACTGTGGCTGTAATCAATGTCCCTGCAAGGGTTACTTTTAAATGACTAACACGCTATTTTTGGACACACTTACTATAGTAAGACATCTGCAGCGTTTGTGACTCCTTTCAGCCAAACAGATGGGTTTCACTATTTTATTTTTGCCAGCCTAGCAAAACTTTCCCTTTAGAAAGCTTAGCAAAAGCCTGTAAATCCGTTTCATCTGAGCAAGCAACGTCAGCTAGATTAGAAACAAATCACATTATATTTATAAAGTGCAACTTTCACTTCAAGTACAATCTCAAAGCAAGGTATAGAAATGTATAAACACCAAGATGGGCTAAATGTGACATTTCAGACCTTCCCAAAACCTCTTGAAGTTTGCAGTCATCAAACAGAAAGTTTCATTTTATATTTTATATAAAATAAACATCACTTGCTGATTGTATGTGTTCTTTGCATGGTTATTTCCCCGTTTATTAAATCCAAGAAAAATAATTATTATTTGCACATGAAGAACAAATGTATGCCTATAAGTCATAAGAGAC